ATTCTGAAACAATAACCCTAAGTACTTCCTGCTCATCAATTTTTTATGAGTTGAACACAGGTCGTAACCAGATTTCATGCCTCAGTTTTATAATCTGTAGCCATATATTTCGGTTTGTAATTTATTCACAGAAATTTGTGAATATTCACTATTATTGTCCTCATTGAAAAAAAAATCTTCAAAAATTACCTTGAATTTACTGAAGTGTAGAATACATGGTTTGTTGTTGATTTGGGTTTTTTAAAATAAATATTAGTTAAGCATCTGCAAATAAATTAAAAGCGGACCAAAAAAAAAAGTCAACTAGTCTGAGTAAATTAATAGATATATGCATGTCTAAAATAATTCTTTTATCCAACACTGAGAATACTAGGGGACCCTAATTTAGCTTTGCAAAAGTGCTATATTGATTACTAGAACTCTGTTTTCCATAAAATTCATGGTGATTCTGTTTCCTTCCTGGAGAGGAAATCAAAATTAGTCCTTGTGTCTTAGAATGTTGGATTTTCCTGGAGTTGTATTTTCTGGGGTTGCTGCTATTGAAGGGCAAACCTGTCTTTTAATGAGAGCACAACAATATCTTGGTAAATCCAGAAAAAAACATGAAGTAACCATTTCAGATGCTTTTTAATTGTATTAATTAACTGAGTTAAGACATATGTAGAACCTAAGTAGGAAGATGATGGAAATCAGACCACTGGGAAAGTTAGACAGTAGATGGGATTCTCACTGGATAATGTTTATGGTCATTACACTTATGATGGACTATATTACATGAACAGAGCAGAACCAATTGTAGCATGGCTTTTCTCTTTGCCAACTTCTATTTTTAGTATTTTACTTAATGAGATAGTGTCTTCTGTGTTTTGGAAATTGTTGAATCATCCAGCAAAATCATATCGTGGGCCACTCTTGAATTCTTAGTGAGACAAGAAACACAAAATATGAGTTCCTTGCTTGTATAAGCTGCAGTATGACAAGAGTTGAGTGTCTCTACCTTAGATCCAGGATTATAAATTAGTGTTTCTGCAAATTCCATTAATCATCTCTGTGTGAATTTTTTCCTGTTGGTTTACTTTGCAATTCTCTTTAAGTTTTATAGCTGAATGAGGTGCACTTTGATCCAAGTTTTCATTTTATGTTACAATATAGATAATACGTGATGGCTAACAAGGTTGAAGAGTGCCTTAATGTGAAGCAAATGTCTAAGAAAATAAAAAGTATAGATGTGAATAGCATTTATTTTGGTATTTAAAGTTACTGAAGCAGCCAAACCAGCATAGAATTTGGCTTTAGAAATAGTTTTCTTTGATAAATTTAACATCTTTGTATGAATCTTGTCAATGGGCAATAGAAAGTCAGTAAACTAGGAAACAAGCAGAAGAATCTTTGTTCTTTGCTCAGAATTTGCTCTGGAAACAGGACCAAGTTGTCTAATTCAGAAGATAGGAGATACACAGTGAAAATTGCTAGTTCCCAATTCCTAACTCTGAGTGAAGTGCCCCATAACCCTCTAATGTTTTTCTCTTATAGCCATTAAATACTGTGTTGCAAGTTTATTGTTAACATGTGAATTGTGAACAGTTTAGCATTGGTTAAATGGAAATTTATTTAGTCAGGTAAATTAGTAATAATAATAATAATAATGCTTTTATGATTTTTAAAATAAATATGGAGCTCAAACAACTCATTTTAAATGTCTCAGCCTCTTTATGGAGAATGTTTATGGTAATAAGATTATTTAGGTAGTTTGAGATGTTAGAAATTTGCAGAATTTCAAATAAAATTAAAAAAATTAAAAATTTGCAGAATGACAAAACCTGGTTCTAGTTAATGCCACACTAAGCTGCCTTCTGGGCAGGATACAGGTCTTTCAACATATTCACACATGGTTTGAGAAGAGGTGGAAGTAAAGTGATGAAATTTGCTTGTATATTAGAGAAGTTATTAAAAATAAGGATTGATTAGAAAGGCTAAGAGGTTAAGAATGTGATTCAGCTCCATATAATAGCTCCTAAACTTTCATGTCTACATGGAAACAGGTTGGCCAAGTTCCTGTCAGTGGAAATCTGTTCAGTGCAGGCAGTGTGACTTAGAGAGCTTCAACTCACTACTGACAACACAATAAAGCAGTATCACTAGAAGGAAAGTATTGTGCAGTCAGTGAAACTTTACATTGAGAGATTAGCCAGCAGCTTGAGAACAAGAAAATGCATATGAATAATAGAAGTAAAGAATGACAAGTTCCTTTAAGCAATTTCTTGGATAATGTTTCTGGACACCACGCTACCTTGCTTCAGACAAGTCAAATTGAATTAGTTGAAGGTGCATTGTCATCAAGCCTCTCCTCCCAGTGGCTTCCAGGTGGCACACAGACAGCACCCAGATGACACTGTCCCCACCTGCGACTGCCACCTGGCACTGCAAAGTGAGAGGATTCATCCATACCCATAACCCACATTACAGAGTGTGGGATGCACTGACTCAGCCAGCTACATGAGTGGACTGTACACTCCACGACTGAGACCAAAACTATCTGTAGGCTGAGCCTACAGATAGTTTGAGCGTGATCTGGAGTTTGTATTTTGAGGAACTGAATCTACTCTTTCAAACCTTAACATGGCCCAGTAACAAAGAATAAAAGTTCAGCAGTGGTGTTCTGTATTATGTCACACCAGTACTAATGTCACCAAGAGGAAGTCACCAGTTCAATTCAAAAAGTAGAAAGTATTAGAATGGAAAGGCTAAGGAACTGCACTAAGAATAGATTAATTTATTTTATCCAAGGCTATTATAATTAACTGCCACTTTTCAGAGATACTGTATTATGTTTCATAAAAACTAATTTTAAAAGAGCAATTTAATAATCCTTCTGTGAGGACACAAAATATTGGAAAGACTGCTATGTGTCTGAACCAAAAAAGGTCTTGACCTTTACTAGCTGAATGGCTGTTTATTAATCTGAAAACAACTACTGATTATCTATACTGATCATTAAAACATTTTTCACTCATCTCAAATAAGCTCCAAAATGCCAAAAGTTAGCTTTGGCATTAGGTATGGACAAGAGAAAACCCTTAAACATACATATGATTCTTCTATACTCTTTAATTATCTAAGGGTATTAGCCAAAGTTGTCTGGCAGTATTTGTATTATTATAAAAGTTTGAGCATAGAAAAATCTTGACTACAGACTTTAAACAGCAAGCTGGGGAGTTGAAAGCTGATAAGAGAGGCAAGTTTCTCATTCTTACTGAAAATCTGCAGCTAAAGCCTAACAACAGACCATAAATATTGTGTCCATGTGGATGGATTCTAGAGAAAGATGTATGTATTTTACAGCCATGAAAATATGTGAAGGGATAACAGGACCATATACAAGATTAAACAAATATGGTTTTGTACGTAATAGAAGTATCTGGTTCTACTGTCTTGGACTCATCAGTGTGAAATGACAGATAAAAAGATTACTGTCATTTGCTGTGCTGAAGTGAGAGAGGGACACAGTTTTTCCACCACATGTATGAATAGTTTCTTTCAAACTTCATCCTAATTCTTTTTCCACTTCTGAAGTACTCTGCAGCAGCTTTCCCAATCAAACATTTTTTTGAGAAGATGAAGAAATGTGAAGTATGAAAAAGCATTTATCAGGAGGAGAAAAAATCATGTCAGATGGCAATATTCCAAACATTTATAATAAATGCTTCCCATATCTAAATTTATTTCTGTGAATTTCCTAATTAAATTGTTGCCTAAGAAACAAAACACGAGTGTTTATATAGTGCACCTTTTACAAAGCAGCTTTGTATGAATTAATTTGTCTTGTATAACTTAGATTGTTAGCCAGGTGATCAATGATCCTGTCATAGAAAGTCCTTGTATCAAACTGATAAATGGAAGATCTTTCTATACTGAACATTGATGTTAATAATTCTCCCATGGGCAAGACAACTATATTCACATAAAGCAATTTCCCAAAGTTTTGCAAACCAGAAAACTTCCTAAATTAATCACACACCTATCCAGCTAGTTTTGCTTGACAAGGTGTAGTCATTAACTCTATTTTAGATATCACTAAGGCATTAATTGTCATAAAATCTCATACCTTGACCAATTTCAAATTGGTTCTAAGTTTTTATAGCACACGAGCAATTAAAAATCATTATAAATAATCAGTCTGAAGGTTTTAACCTTCATCTAGAAATACATAAAATTTTTAAACACAGGCATTGTAGGCAAAAACATTCTAGAAAGAAAGCTTCCCAAGTGATGGCAAAAATCAAGACATATTCAGATGATTGAAATTCTGACATAAGTGCTGTGGCTCTAGGGAGGTCCTTGGTTGCATCCTATTGTGGATGTTCTTGGAGAAATGTTCTTACAAAATGTTCTTGGAGACCCAGATAAGAAAGTGGATACATGTGCCAACAATGCCAAGCCTTCATCACATGATGGTGCACTACCCATATGGGGACATTATTGCTGTGCCAATAACACTTTTAGTAAAAAACCTACTGACAAAAAAGGATGGTAGAGTATAAAGATTCTACAGAATTTCTGCATCCTCTCTCCCTATATAAATAACATATTCATCAATACACATATAACTGCATCTTACCTTGTTTCCTTGAATGCCTTTCGGGCCTTGCTGACCTGGATCTCCCCTGATACCCTACAAAAAAGTCAAAGCAAAGAAAGAGTTGCCTTTGGAGACCTGTATAAATGTTAGGGTTTTATTTTCCCTGAATGGAGTACATTATAATATAGCACAATTCTAAGCTCTTAAGGACAAGAGTTTTCTGCATCATATCCTGTGAAATGCCCAATACATTGAATATTATTAATATTTAAAAACCAGTGCCAGCAGAAAAACGTCTGTTTTTCACAGAATTAACAGGTTGTATGCACAAGAAACTTACAGAATATAATCTTTCCCTTTTATTTGGTAGCTTTTAGTTCCCTTACCTGAGGTCCCCGAGGTCCCGTAGGGCCCACAGAGCCCTGCAAACCCTGAGGAAAAATAAGATTCAATTATCAGATTCAAAGGAAGTTTCAATCTGCTTTCAAAGGGCAAGCACATGATATGTACATGTAATGGCTCAAATCTCTGTTCAAGCACTTTCTAGAGACTTTATCCTCTCACTGCTGCTCTCATAGTGTGTTCAGTAGTTGCCTGCAACATTCCACCCTCAATATTTGGTTAAAACGCTTTTCATATACAACAAGTATAGTGAATGTCTAATTAACATCTTAGTTATTTGATTAAGAAGTTTTTATTTGCTACATGTTTTAAAATTTAATTCTTAGAAGCATATTAGATACAGAATTCTTTAAAATACTGCAGTGTCTATACCAGAATAACTTCAGGTAACTTTGTCTCACTAACTCAAACTGCTGATGAGTTGCCTGGCGGAATCACACTAATAGCTCACAAAATCCATTAAAAATCCAAAAGGTTTAAAATTCCACTTTAATAGATTTAAAATGCTTTTTTATTCCACTAGCTGTGATTTCTCAATTTAATGAGTTCGTACCAGTTACCACCACTGCAGATTATTCAAAAATCTTTCTGCTTCACAGTTTTTTGTTTAGTCACCATAATGCATATTCTACAGAATTTCACTTCCACTTGTATCAATACTCAGTTATAATTTATTTTTAAAGCAAAAAGAGTTTTGAGTAAATTTACTGTTTTAAAATTTCTCTTTTCTTTTAATTAGTAACATCTCTATGGGCAGAGACACTGGCAGACTGCTGCATTTTTCAAGATGTGTCACATTTTGAACTTTTAATAGCCTTGATAAATTTAGCAGTGATACCTATGCAGACACTCCATCAACTCCCCCCCTGCCCCCCCCCCCCCCCCCCGCGATACAGAGTCAGAAATTTTAAATAATTCTCTGCTCCCTGGCATTTGCTCCCAGGCCAAGCATCAGCCACCAGAGAGAGAGATAACCCACTGAGTTCCAGCCCATTTCCAGAGTGACTACACAAGCAATGGATGGTACAAAGAGTGATCTGCTGACACAGTGATGGCTACTTTTGGTAGCATACAAACATATGACTTGACTCAGTTCTGACTTCAAAGCCAAACCGAAACGGTCTGAATTTCAAGCCTGAACAGCATTTTAAAAAGCTCTGATATACAGCAGTAAAACTATTGGATTCAGTCTGATTAGTGAGATTGGGAAGTGGTAGAGGATGCAACATTTTCAAATGGGACTCCATGCTTCAATATCCATCACCCCAGTTAAAGACCAATCTCAGAATACTGATTTTGCTTCTCACACATTTGGCTATATGTGTTGTTTCTGATTTTGTCCAGCCTAGAATGCTTTCTTTAAAGATATAGCCATATTTTTGTTCTGTCTTCAGGATTTGTGACTGTGAAGGTGGTAATTCTGGAACTGACTGATCCCCCCCGCCATCAGAGGAAAAAAAAATTTCATCACTGTCCTCAACAGAAATGAAGCAAACAGATTTTTGGCAGCCCTGGCATATTTTCTATACCCAGATTTCTTACTCATTCGATTATGTTCTTTGCCAGCTTCTGAACAGGCTCCTTTTACCTTAGTAGACGTTTCACATAATGTCATGCTATTTCCCACATGTGTGGATAAAGAAGGTATGATCTTTATTTCTCTGAAAGATGCAGCTTTCTCCTTTTCCATTGATACGTCAGACTTTTCTGATTCACTGAAGTCTGAAATTTGCTGCCATTTTGAACTACAGTATTCCACAAGATATTCTCAGCCTTTAGATTTTCATTATTGCATAATGCCTTGTTTTCTTTGCAATAAATACTTTTGGAATGAATATTTATTAATTCCTATTTGAAGTTAATCATAGAATAGCAGCTTCCAGGAAATCAAAAACTTTTCAAGGTGTTTTTGATAAAGGTAAACATAATACATAATATGGGCTGTAAAACTGGAGAAACGTGCTTTAATAGAAGGATAAGTGCAATCTAATTGGTAGTTCTTAGATATTTGAACTATAAATTAGCATTGTGCATGACATACAGACCTGCTTGTATGAACTCAAGATACATGATTATCTCACTTAGCAGTCCATTATCCTTCCATCTTTCAGAATATAAATAAAGCAGGTAAAAATCTGTATTCACTTGCAATACTACTGAACTCCAGGTTAAAAAGAAAGGAGGACTGGATAGAAGTGTGAATTCATATCAGCACAGATGGGCTCGTAGACCTGAAAGTTGTTCATGTTGGGTTAAGAACCTGCTGTTATTGCAATATAACTATAAACTCAAACTGAAATTAAACTTTAAAGGAAATAAACTGAATGCTCTCTGCAAGATGCTCAGTCTTATGTAAGCAAGGCTTGGCAGTGGTCAGGGCAGCTTTTGTTTTAGGTAAGGATCTGTATTTCTTATGCAAAATGGAAAAAAAGAATGTGCTGAAAAGTTGGTTCAGTTCTTACAAATCATACTTCTACTGTGACTGCAACTTTATCACCATGGAATTATAAGGTATTCCAAATTTACAATAATATTTTCAAACTGTGTTTATGAATATGTTACATGATTTTCTGGTATCTTCATCAACATGAAACAATTCAAATAAAAATTATACTTACTATTTCTCCTTTTGGTCCTGGGGGTCCACATTCTCCTCTTTCACCCTTTGTAAGAAATCAAAGGGTTCACAGCTAAACAAGATGACTTGATTACATTGCATGGATTAAAGACTCGACAAGCAGTAGCACAAGAGGTTTAGTTGACTCTGAGGACCTGGAAGTGGCATCATTATATATGGTCTGTAGAAAATAAGATCTGCTCTCTACTCGAGATAGGTTGTTCCAGAAAATGCCTGCAAAACATCCAACTTATTCCAGAGGATAACACATTTAATATTTAATAAGTTTTGCTGCAGTTTTCCACCTAACTGCACTGTCTCTAGAGATCTTTTCCATGCTCTGATTTAATTACTGTGACGATTTAGATTTTCCTGAGTAACAATTGTGAGATTGCACACATGTAATGAAGAAAGAATTAGGCCTTTCACTGATGATTTAACATATCTATAGATACATGAAAAATAGACTTATGAGTCTACTGTTCCCATTTTCATGAAATCTTATCACAAAATTGACTGAAGCATTTTGCTAATGACTACAAAGATTCACAGAGGTACTGGTTTTATTAACAATTCGGAGATATAAGTGTCAAACCAAGAAAAGTCAAAATGGAATTATCTCTGTTACATTTTTGACTATGATGGTCCACTTTGCAATTCATGTCTAGAATCCTCCAAGTCACTGAAATTCATAGTTTTTTTATCTTTTTGGAGAGACTATATTGAAAATTTTCTTGATCTAGCATTAGCCCTTGCAAATTACAAATAGGTTAAAAATAATCTTCCTTGTGGTTCCTTCAAAAGCTAATCGTTGTCACATTGTGTTTGTAGTAAACATTTTCTTTTTCTTTCCATTTAACCTCTTATTCATCCCACAGCTTCCTTTTCCTTCCAAAAACTGTTTTTCTGGTCATTGACACTTTTCTTTTTGTATCTTTAGATTACAGTCTCTGATTTTGTGTGGTTGTTTTTGTTTTATTTCCAGCATTCCAGTCTGTAAGCATTTACATAAATTTTGAATTTACTTCTGGGGATTGCATGAGGAGCTTTCATGACAAAAGGCAAGACAAGCTCTTTTTCCCATTCTTTCACATACACTGTAATCAAGTGACAATTTATTTTCAGACTATTTCTATTCTGCAAAAAACCTACCTTGTCTCCCTTGTAGCCAGAATCTCCCTATTCAAAAATTGAAAAAAGGAAAAAATCATAACGGAGAAAGCAAAGGCCTAACATACAGCTAATTTAAGTAGAAAAAGCCCCAATCCCCCCCATAGTAAAGAACTATGTTTCAGAAGTTTAACTATTCTCAACAATAAAATATCTCTCTGAAATTGTTTAACATATAATTCTCTTCAAGTCTAGATGTGTATTTTTTACACATATATTAAATATTAGTAAATGAAATATGTAAATATGCCACTCAGTTTGCCACCTCCTAGTATATACATGCTGTCATTTCAATGGGACTTTTAAATGAGTTATTCTTATACAGGGAGTAGTGTTAATCTTTCTCCAGTGAATCAACAAGAAGTCTGAGAATTATCAGGCGTTAGAAGCCCCAAAGGATCATGCAGTGTTTTTATCAGGTCTGTCTTTGGGATAAGTCTAATGCAAGTCAATTCAAAATCACACAGCTTCAGAAGTTCCTTCTCCCATTAGCATCTCATCTCTATATTTAAGCACATGGTTAGACTGCTTCTCTCAGTATACATGCTTCTGTAAATCAGGTGTAAGTGTAGGTGCTTTAAATAGTTGAATAAAGTAAGCACATAAAAAATGAAAATAACATTTTTAGTTCAGAAAATGTGAAAATACAAAATATGAGTTAGAACTGTAGTAGTCACATACCTCTTCCCCTTTCTCTCCACGATCTCCTTTTTGAGCATCACCCTATCGGAAACAAAGGAATACAACTGTTGTATTGCTCTAAAGCCAAGAACACTGTTAAACCATCAAGACTGTTTTTTCCTATTTAGTAAAATTCACACTTCCTCCTTCCTCAATCAAAGATACACATTTCCTGATGATTAACATAGAAAACTGATCTATTGTAATTGGATGACTGAAATCTTAGTTATTAGAGTGAACCCCTCTGATCAAGGGATCTATGTACTGTTAGAAAGCTCTCAGGAACCTAAAAAGCCTTTGGCTAAATTAGAGACCTCTGTTGTCAGAGAGAAACTGAAATGATAGGCAGTGTTATCTTGATAGCAGTTTAGTTTTAATTTTTTATCTCACACTTCTAAAGCAGCTAATTATAAACTAGCAAACCTTAACATTTATAACTTATTTTAACGTACTTTTCCTTTGCTATATTCACATCTATGGTTTGAATAACTGGATAGAAATTTGCTTTATTTCTTTTAAATTCACATTACCTTGTTTCCTTTTGGTCCTGGTTCACCTTTCTCCCCTTTGCTGCCCTGAAACACAGCAGGAAAATGTTATTATCATTATGAGGATAAAATTCTCCATCTTGAAGACTATATCTTAGTCCAAAATCATCCTGAAATAAGCTTTGGTAGAAACACCCACTGATTCAAGTATTGTACATGTGACACAATATTCATTTAACTAAACCTGCTCTGGTATTAAAAGGTATCTACAAATATTTTGTAAACAATATTCAGTGATAAATAAATTTTCTACACAGCATCCAAAAAATCTAATCAGGAAGGCATTACAGAAAAACACAGTTCTTCCTTCTCATTTCTCAATTAACCACCACTATCTCAACTTCTCTGCTTAGAAAAAAAATACTGTACAGAACAGTTTAGGGTTAATATTCAGCAGCTCTAAGGAAAAAGTTACTCCACCATTTTTTGTTACTCTTTGGAGGATCATGTTTGGGACTACAAAGTTTGGCATATATACATCTGTATAACAGGCTACATCTAATAATTTTGGATAAAATAACTTTAAAATTCTTGGATCTAAAATTTTAAATTATGAACAGAGGTGCTGGTGCACATTATCCAGATGCACATTATCCACAAGGATTGGATGATAGGCCCTGGTGTCATAACCTGCTAATGGTATGGTTGACCCATTAGACAATAGGGAGAAAGACAAAAACCTCAGAATGTACTTTGCTTGTCTCTGGGGGAGCTATTAAAGACAGAAACATGGTCAGAGAGGTCACCCACTGTCTGAATGCACATTTTCTGTTCCCTACTAGAGCCAAGAAATATGTGCTGAAGTGTCACAAGAGATAGGAGAGTGTTGGAGGCAGAGTTTTAGACCTTTCCTCATATATCCATTGCCCTCTGACTTTTGAACCTTTACCCCTTACAAAAACAGAAGTTGGCAGTGTATGAAAACCTTTGCCTAATGGACCTTTCCTTCCCCACTGCAAGATTCAAGAATAACTTTTCTTTATTTGGACTCCGAAATTACCTATTTATCCTCCATATTTTATTATCCAATAATATAAATATATTTTCAAGACAGTATGTGACTATGGATAGATCTTTTATTCTGACCTCTTTTAACAGTGACCTTTCACTACCAACATGATATGCTAAAAATCAATCTTTTTGCAGTACATGCACAGCTAATGTCTTGTTCATGTAGTAACCAATTAAAATTCTGTGCAGTTTTGATCTTGATTAAAATTCAAATTCTTCAGCTTACTCAAATAAATGCATACTTACCCAATCACCTTTGTCTCCTTTCACTCCCTTTTCACACTCACAGGCCTTCTGCACACACTACAAGGTTAATGGAAAGATAAAGGAGAATGTTTTCCAAATATATTTCTTCAGAATTTTAAAGCAAAAAATTTTGGTTTTGTCTAATCACAGATGAAATAATATAATAGTGGAATAACAGGCAAGAAATGATATTCTGATATATTTATTTCTCATATAATCAACATTAAACTTCCATACAGAGCAACCAAAACCCATCACTTGATTTATTTATAACAAAAATATATCTATTACTGTAGTGACTGTAGTTACTGTAATAATTACAAATGCTTAAGATAGCATATACATAGTAAACAGTACTGTGAAACCTTACATAAATTTTGAACTACTTAATCATTTCTATTGTATTCTAATGAGAACACAAATGAATTTTCATATCTTGCATGAGGCCTATTTCACTCTTGTAGGAAGAGTTCTTTATGTCTTACTGTTGATACTACTCACTAATGAGATAACATTGTAGATTTCACAGGAGAAAGGACAGAAGAAATGCAGGAAAGTTAAAATAATATAATCATGGTCAGAAAATTTAACCAGAGGTGGAAGGTTGATTAATCCTCAAGTATTGTTATGTTACAGAAGAAGCAGACTTTGGGAAGTCTAGTGTCAATAAGAGTAATCAAACACAAAGCTCAAGACCCCTACCTGCTTCTGTAACAGGGCTTCCTGAAAATAAAATAGAATAAAAATATTACTTTCATATAGATATGATTTAATTTAACAAGTACTAATTTTTCCTCTCCATTTTATAGACTCTCCAAGGTGAATGGTAGAGATGGTGAATACCTTCATCCTTCATTCCTTCCTCAAAGGGGCAGGAACGAGTCTGTGGAACTACTCATACAGAGAAGAGTTCTTGGTAGGAAGAGAAGGTTATTCCATGTGACATGCAGTCATCAGACAAGACATGAGAATTATGGGATAGCTAAACAGACAGTATTAAGACACAGTGCTAACAGCAGGGACTCTGAAAAGACTTCCTAAACAGAGACCTTCTTTTGGAAGGCCCTACAAACAAAATACGTAAGGGAAGGACTCAGTGATTATGCATGAGATCAAGCTACCTTCTAAAGTATTTTCATATGCTCAGAAACACACTCTGTGTGCTGGGATATGTGACCAGAACAGCTGAGCTACTATTATCCAAGCACACGATTCCTTGGAGAGTGGCTGGCAGAAGGAATCTCCATCTGCCCTGACCCCTGCTGTAGCAGAGAAGGTACCACAAAACCCTCTGCACTGTCTTCAGGGCTTACCCAATCTAAATCAAATTAAATCTGCCAAGGATAGACACATGACAAGATTAACATCAGCATAACTTACCAGTTCCAATGCTACATCTACTACCAGATTCTGATCATCCAGGCATAGGACACGTTTAGAGGATGAATCACCAGATATCATGCGCAATTTTTCTTCTTGGACTGCTTTCTTAGAAAGGCCAATGGTAACAAAATGTATCCCAAGACTTCTAGCTGTTGTGGCTATACCCTGGACATTAGGGCTGTTTGGATGATCCACACCATCAGTCATCAAAAAAGCCACTTTCACACTTTTCTTACGACTTTCAGTTTTAAACAGATGAGTGGCATTTGAAATCGCATAATAGGAATAAGTGCCTTGGCCAATAAATCCCAGAGAATTGATTTTCTCCTTAAAATTCTGGACATTTTTCCAGGCTGTAAAGGGATGATCAATGCTGACTGTGCTGCTGAACTGCATGCTTGCTAGTTTGACACTATACATGTGGGATTTAACTGGCTTGATCTGGAAAATTCTGTCAGTTATGTTTTGAACAAAATTCTTCTGTACATCAAACAACTGATTTTTGGCACTTTCTGAACTGTCTATGATAAAGACTATGTCAATGAGACACATATCACCTGTAAGGAAACAAGAAAGTTAAATCTATGAATGATGGTAACACCTGCACAATAGATTTATGATAATTTTCTGCAAAAAATAATTTTCTCAAAGATTCCTCTGTCTTCCCAGTAAAAAGTCTAAGGATAAATTCCTCTGTAAATTCCATCCAATAAATTATAATGAAAGCTGTCAAGTTAGGGTCTCAATGGGATTGTTTTAGTATTTTAGTTGATTTTGTATAGAAAATCTACCACATGAAATTTCAAACAAAAGTCAGGTTTCTTATAATTTCTCTTAAGAGATATGCATGTCCATGAAAATAATTGATCAATCTGGAATCCATGTCCAAGTAGTCAAAAAGTATTTTCCAGCCTTCATAATCAAAATAAATCACATTTTACATATTCACATGAAAGTTATCAATTACTAAATAATTATGCTAAAATGCATGGATATGTACAACACAGTCAACCACAAATTTTTAGAAAATTATTTTACCTTCATCTTTTAGCATAGGAGAGTAAATATTCTTTCCTTTTCTTCTGTTTTGCCCATGTACTATCTGGTTTGTTATCACAGCCAGAAGTATAAAGCAAAAGAAAAAATATTTTTTCCTCATAGTGACTTTCATCCCAAATAGACAACTTTTCCTTCCTGTTAGAAGTAAAAAGCCACCTGTGAATACCTCATTAACAGAAGCAAATAATTAAATACAGATACTTTAAATACATATTTGTGGGAACCATAGTTCTAGAGAAAATATATTAAAAAATACTTATAAAAAGTCATTGTGTAGGTAGTTTAACCACAGTAACCAGCACTATCTCAATTGTAGCTCACATGGATAGTAGAACCTGTTTATTACAGATGAAATATGGGTACAGCACTGCCTTTTCTTTCTTAACAAAAAGCCTGGAGCATGAGTATGAATAACTTATTTTTCTAGGAAACAATGGTTTAATAATGAAATTTAATACATGAATATATTATTAATATTACATGGATGTTACAGAATATGTGCAGTATTTTTCATAAGGATTATATTCTAATTACAATATACTGATAAAATTAAAATTAGAATATTTAAATTAATGATTCAACATATTTTTAGAGAATACTGAACTAAATTAAATACTGAATTAAATCTGATTTACATATAAAAGCCTGTGATTTACAAAAAATAATTTTAAATATCATTAATAACGAAGACAATATGTTAAATGTAAAAATCCTTCCTAAATTTCCTTTTAAAGTCCATCAAGCAGATACATATCCAGAAACCATAAGTGCAGTCCTCTAAAATTAGAGAGGAAAT